TATTTGAGAATATCCTTGAGTTCCTCTCCTCCCACAATGTCCAATAAACTGCAGCTCTACCACACCTCCACATGATCTTAAGCCCTTTTAGTTGGCCAATTAGGCATGGAGGTAAATAAGCTTCAGTCGTATATTTAGAAAACTAATTGAATCATAAAGCATTCAAATAAATAAGAAAAAGGTAGTTTGGGGATTTAAAAAATTTTAAACAACTGAATGAGATTCTTTTTGAAGTTTACTGTGAAAGTTCCGGGGGGGGGGGTCTTTGTCGCAAGCGATAGTTCAGGGGGTCTTTGTTGCAAATGAAAGTTCAGGGGATATTTGTCATTGATGGCATAGCACAGGGGCTCTTTGTGATTCACCAAAGATTTTATTATTGTCCCATTCAGGTCCTTCACTGACAGATCAGGTGAATCATCCAATAGTATGTAACAAGGACAAGGATAAAAATTGTCTGAGTAGAAAGCCTTATGTGCTGATTCGGCCAAGCTTCTTGTGAAAGGAAGAGGAGAAAGTTGGGGGTTTCAGCAATAGAYAGAGGAAAGGGAAGGAAAGGAGAAGAAGGTCGACTAGGATAGTGATTCATAACCCTAGCCGCCAGCCCCTCATTCTATTTATAATTAACTTAAATATAGGATATTACAAAGATGCCCCTAGTAGGGCGGCAACTCAAACTAAGTACTTACAATTCTTTTAAAAATAAAAAACTAATGGACCCAAGGCCCAACAACTTCTTAATTTAAAAGAAAACAAACTAAACATAAATCGGCCCACTCAACAGTCTGGTTCAGTGACTTCAATAAAATCTGAATGGTGACATATATGTGTTGAAGACATCAGAAACTGTCCTCTGTATTGACACGAGACAATAACCAATTTAAATTTTAGAAAATGGATTATCCTTGTTTAATGGCTTGAAAGCACTCTCTTCGTCAGTAACAAGTTATAAATCTGTTAACTTTTGCCTGTTATGTTACATACATGGTTTGAACTTTCAAATTCATTTACCCGTACTTGTAAGGCATAAATGAGAAATGGAACATGGTGATCTTTTTATTTATCCTGAGTCTTCATTTTGTAATTATTCTTCACTGAGACTTTTCTTCTAATGAACCATTATGTATTGCATCTTGATAATTGGTGCAGAGAGGATTTCCTTCTGATTCTGCTGCATATGGTGATCCCAGTCTCATCAGTCAGAGGCTTCCCATCGTCAAGCATAAAACCCAAAAGCTGAAAATCCCTAGTGATATGTAAGTATTCTCAGTTGGTACTTAAGGACGATAGGGTCCATGCTTTGTCTTCATGCAAGAGAAGCTCAAAATTGTCCTTGTATGTAATTGTAGATGCACGAAACCTCTGGTTAAATTTGACTTTTGTTGACCAAGGGTTCATATTTGTCCCTTTATTCCTGGTTCATAACTTATAAGGATTTTATAAGAACAAAATTATGGAAAGGCAGGAAAGCATGCATCCCTAATAGAAGAATACAAAAAAAAAAAAAAAAATACCAAGTGAGGCACTAAGCCACTAAGTCATCCCACAGAAACCAGACTCCATGGAAACTGACCCAACTTGTTGGTTAAAGATTTGACTAACTAATTGATCAACCTATGAAAAAAATGTAAATGATGATAATGGGTCAGGTCCAAGGTTTGGGTTTGAAAGTGTAAACTAAAAAACATAGAAAATGTGTTGGGTTTGCCTCTCTTCCAAATTGAAATCAGATTATTATTATTATTATTATTATTATTAATCCAAATAAGTTTTGTTGACTCATTATCTTCATCACTCATGAGATGAGATAGACTATAGACATACTCACGCGTGCACGGACACACGCTGGTGGGATAAATCTATTACGACCAAAGGTATGATACCATAAGAGTTTTGACGAATCAAAACTTTTGCGAATTTTGATGAATACCACTTGATTGTTTAAGTTTAACCACTTTATACTGGTTGATTAATTATAAGTTTTTCTGGTAGTGCTTTATAACTTGGATAATGTTTGGTACTGTTACAATCCAGGCTAAAAAATTTAGAGAGGCAATGGCATTTCATGTCAAAACGCCAACATCATAAAACTCGTTTGGTTGGTATTTATGCTGATTTGGCATTCAACAAATGTTTTGAGCAATATTGCGTTTGGAATTGGTGTTGTTCATAAATGGATTGTTTATGTTCTATGTGACACCATCTTATTATACTGTTTCTCATTAAATGGTTAAACTTAAAATAAATGTTTTCTGATGATTGGGTCATTATTACACAGATAGGTAAGATCTAATGATTCCAGAAGTAGGCAACTAAAACGAGAACCTTTGTTTTGGATGTAGGATTTATGGGTATGACAGTGTAATTTTATCTTTGCTAGAATGTGATGAATGAGAATACATCTCAACACTGACATGTAGGATGCCACTTTGAAGTCAGGTCATTAGACCCTTCTTCAAATGGGCAATTGGAGGAGATGTCAACTAGACATGACATTTATCCCAACTCCCCTTGGTTTATGTTTTTAGTAAAAATGTTTTATGACTTAAAACAGTTTCACCAAACAGAAAATTGAGGTTCAAACTCAACACCTAGATTGAGGTTTAAACCCAAAACTCCTAGGTGGTGTTGATGGGGCATCATTTCAAGTAGAAATGGCCATTATACCAAACAGAAATGCCCAGCTGGTACTGATGTGGCAGCATTTCAAGTAGCACTCTGTGAGGTTAGATTTTAGTCTTTGGGGGGCAACCATTTGAACTATTTGGTGGTCCTTGTTGATCTCTGAATGTTAGGCTAATAAACCAATCTTTCAAGCATAAAAAATCTGGAAACTATCCATAAAAAATAGCAAAATATTTAGAACTGAATGATAGTTTCAGACTCGACTGAATCAACTTCCCAGCAATTTAATTCCACGATTTTCATCGGTTTGTTCAAGATGGGGGAACAGGTAGTGTAGCATCTACATTGCACCATCAGTTCACCAATGAGGCAAATTCATCCTTTCAAGTGGGAGGCTAAGATTTTCTAATAGTTTAGAACATTAGCCACTGTGTTGTCCTGTAATAAACAATGGGACCAAAGCTGGAACCTTTTATTTCTCGTGCTTCGTAGTAATATATTTTGCTTTTGAGCTATAAAAAAGGGACCAAAGCGAAATCCTACATTTAAAATGACGAATACAAAAAAAAAGGGCATGAAAATCAATTCTGAAATCTCCAATTTCAGCCTTCAAACCCAGAATTATTTCTCGAAGGAATCTAGAATTGCTTTGGAATAGATTGACCTAACTCCAACTGGGCCAATACGTATGGTGGATAAGAATGTGACCTTTGTCCAAATCATCTCTCCACTTAAACTCGTATGTACTGGAGAGAGCATGGTATATGGCACTAACATGGTACAACACTATATTTACGGCTGTTCTCAAAGCATGTCATGGACATCCATGTCACTGATGTTACATCCCACTTCTCTGAACCCACCCAAACCAAAAGGTGGCATGTCACTCGCTCACTTTCAAGCAAAGGTGGAACGTCACTATAGAGAATGCAAGTCCTTCATATAATGAAATGACCCTTGCGACGTTTATGGATTCCTTGCTTTTTTTCTTCCTGGCTATGTTCCTGTAACTCAGATTGAAGACCCTTCCGCTACCAATAGTTAATTACCTTAACCTTTACCTTCTCTACTTGGTACGAGAAACGGATGTTACCTTAATCACCTACCTGTTTAACCTATTTGCATTGAAAATGAGCCCCAAGCGGGATTCTTTTTATGGGGTGACCCATATGGTGCAGTTGGGATCCATCATAAATCTATTGAATCCATCCTTTAAAAAGATTATTATGAAAATTTTTAGGCAAAATATATTAGGGAGAATGACTGTTTATCCCATCTTAGAATTCTTAGCCCCATCATACAGGTGGGATGAATCTTGACCATGCCAAATCCATGGCCAAAATGCAGTTTATAAGGGGGAGGGGTTACTAATAGACTATGGGGGGCTGTAATTTTAGAGAGCTGCACTGCACTTTTCCGAATATATTATGCATCTACCACAAAGGACATGATTAATTGAAAGTGATGATAAATAAATCTCATTAAATATGAAATTACACCTTATAAAACAGGAGTAATCGGAATGTACTTGTGAGCTGTGACCCAGAGTCATTACCTCAGTGGTACTAAATTGGGGTAACTGCCCATGTGCCGTTTTGTAGTCACTAATTATTATTGGAATCAATTATTGAAACAATCAAGTTTATGCTGGGCTCAGGTTTTAGATTGATATCTTCCAACCAACCTAACTGTGGACCCTAAGCCCTAAGGATGGCGTAACTTTTCTATTTGGGAGTCTGAGAGGGGTGTGCCTCCTTAACCTGACAGGAATGGACCAGATTCGTAATGGACCCATGTATACGCACTTGCTGCACTTCTAGACCCTGTTGTAGGTATTTGGTATAAATGGTTTATAGGTTTAAAAACATCGTAGGCCATTAATCAGATCCAGATCCTAAAAATGTTTTTAAGACAAACCCGACTAATTTGGACCAAATATATCGGGTGATAGTGTAATTGGTTACAAGGGGCACCCTCCACTTTGATTTCAACTTCTTATGTTATCAGAACTGGATTTGGGAATTCAGTTCCTCTCCCGTCTTATTCTGCAGAATCCGAATTACTACCGTCTTCCCTTCAGTTATTTCTATTTCTTGTTTTTGTTTTTTTTGAAGACACCTAGGGTCTCTTTGGTTTATAGTTGGAATCAAAATCAAAATTCTTCATAATCGGAATCGGAGTGGTCTATTCCCATAGTTTGTTTGGTTCAAATAAGAATAAGGATAAAAATTGAAATCAATAAGAAAGGGATTTCATTCCCCAAAAAGGGGCAGGGAATGGCCATTCCCTCAAACGGTAAAATGCCATTCCAGCAGGAATGGGAATGAGAATCAGATTCCGTCCAACCAAACAGTGAGAACTAGAATAATCCATTCCGATTCCAGGCCCTTATTCCTGCGAACCAAATGGTGCCTTATTTCTATTTCTGCTAAAACTCGAAACACACGGCAAAATATCCACATTTGGCTGAATTCCACTCTTGTCGAAGTGGGCACGGATTATGGAATCTGAAAGCTAGAGCAGCCTTCGATTTGCTTCCGAAGTCCAGTGCCACCCTTATAGATGAAATCCCAAGTTTCATGTTAAAAACTTAGAATAGAGATTTATCACAAAAGCAGTAAGCAATCAGGTGCTATTTATCAAAATTCACCAGGGGGTGGGGTTGATTGGTAAAAGCCATTCCAGATTTATAAACATTGTTAATTTTCTCATAATGGTTATTTTAATCTATATCATTAATTAATGTCAGCATTTTTAGATGTATAAACTATAAAGCAGAAGAAAGTCAGGAGGCAAGGCAACATTCTGGGCTCTAAACCCAACTTGCAGAACTACTTGAAGGGATTTGATTATAGATATAAAAATATATTGTATCTACACTGAGATATGGATGAAAACTAGGGGGGAATTCTCTAAAACTTGTAGGCAGGACAATCTCAATTCCAGGGATCTCAAGCTTCAAGCATGTTTGGAGAACTTTGGAACACACCTAGCGAGGTTAGCTTCTTTAGTTGATTGATGAACAAATGCCAAAATCATACAATAGAAAAGGACACACAAAGAGAGCAACCCCGATTGAGATTTAATGAACAAGTCGGATTGATGGATCAAAGACTGAGATTCAAATCTAGCTTGAGTAGCTCCGACTGTTGTCTCGACAGTTGCGGGTTCACGTGAAAGCTCCCCGGCCACATCGTGTCCACTGCTTCTTCAGAAGTGAATGGCGCCCATCCCATCCTGAAGCTCGAGCCGTTGAACCGTGCTACCATCCCTTCTCTGCTAGGTTTGTGCACCAGTGAGTGGGGCCGGACGCCCATTGATCGGACCATCGAAGGAGCATTGGCGGGCAACCTCGAGTCGTTGAATCTTCTAGCTGCGCCTCTCTCCCTTTTGTGTGCGTTCTGGTGGCCACCCAATGCCTGTGAACTGTAGAACTTCCTCATGCAAAAGTTACAGGAGAAGACCTTGTTGGAAGCGGGTTTGAATTGTGGATCAGAGTCCCCGGCCGTCAACTGCTTCTCATTTCTGCCGAGGCTCAGATTTAACCATTCTTCCTCACCCATTCCTTCGTCATTGTTGTCGATAGCTTTTAATCCCGCGTTCTGGTTGCTGGTCGACACCTGGGTTGCTACTTCTTCTTCCTCACTTTGATAGATCATTTTGGCCACCACCCTCAAATCAGAGAAGGGTCTCTAGGGGGTTGATCAAAGGCTAGAAGAAGATATCTGATCAAGAAAGTTGAATTTGAAAGGTGTAGAGGCTTTGTGGGCTGGTGGTGGCTGCTCTTAAAAAGGGTTAGATCATCAATCAAAGGGGGAATAAAATGGGGGGAGGGGAAAAAGGAAGTGGGATTTTTTAATTTTATCTCATTTCTATCCAGTAGCCCCACCTAGTGATGCTTGGTACGCCAGTAGCAATGCTTATGTCATCTTTTAACTGTGCCCGTGGCAAGCTTAGGATTCCTCACTTCATCAACTTTACCCTTTCTTCCTCTCTAGCTTAATGTCACACCACTTTTTTTCTTTTTTTTTGTTTGTGTAAACATGGTTCTCTTTAGAGTTAACCGATAATAATACAAGGTTGACAATGCTGCCACAATTCCATCAACAGTCAAATCACAATCTTACAATTTATATCAATTGTCCGCCATGAATATTGTTCTGTTCCCCCATTATACTATAAGAAGATCAACGCACATGCTTGGCTGTAAGCAACACATGATCATGAATCTACTTTTTTTGGTAGAAGACCATGAAGCTAGCTACTTCTACCATTGGAAATCAAACCATATTGGTATTACATGGCCACACAAAACATATTGGCTTTGACAATCATGACCCATTTGATCCAAGAGCTTAAACAGATAAAGTAAGTCACATGATTGCATCAAGGTGACTGAGTAGTGAGTACAGTTAATGGTGTTTATCCAAATTATGCCTCTTCCAATTCTCGATCCTACACTCAGACAGGCCTCCTGTCAAGTGGGTAAAACTCTTTCATGGCCATAGTTGATGAAACTTTTTTCATGTCCAAGTCGGTAAGTAAATATAATAAAGTAGATGACACCCACCGGGAAGCTGTGATCCCTGCTGTATACGAAAGAGAAAGGCCTTTGTGCTGTGGTGCCATGAGTGAGTGAATGATAAGCTTCACTACAGATTATCGAAGTGAGTGGAGATGCTGTTATTTTATCATTAAACTTTTCTTTTTTTTTTTTTCATTTGGAGGGTGGAGGAAGGGGGGTCCAGCGAACTAGCAATAATGGTGATAAAAAGTAGGAGTCTTCATGTGGGGCTTCTTGGCTTTCCTCAAACAGGTAGTGGGCAAAATATACGTGTACAGAAGAAGTCCATTAGAACCACTTGTACTTATTCCTGGAATCTTATTGTTATTAACTAGGGGAGAAGATAAGAGGAGCCCAGTTCCCCATAAAGGGTGCTTTTATCACCTGTTTTATAAATAATTATATATAGTATAATAACGATAATACTGGTATTAAAGGCAACTTCATTGCTGAAGCTTCTTCTGATAAATAATTATGGTGTTGGATTGATGAATCAAGGGCTTGAATAATAGACTTGTCTCATCCATTGGCTTTTCTTTTGCAGGCGAATTGGTGCTGTAGTACTGTAGTAGTAGTATAGGCTTAAAGGAACAGTTTTTGCCTTTGACAATTGAAAGTAACAGACCAACAACCTAGTATATGTTTGGTTTTGATGAGAAAAGGGTGCTGTATATGTGTGAGTTGAAAGTATAGCATCGTTTTTTGAGAAAATGGTGTTTTTTTTTTTTTATTTGGAAACATTATTATCAGATAGGACATTTCTTGGGGCAACAGCAACAGCACCAGTGTTCCAGGAAAGAACTTTGGCTGTTGAGGGCCAACAGAATTTCCTGTTCAGTTTTTGGGTTGGGCACGTTACCATGAGAGTGGACAAATTAGTAATTGCCTTCTGATTTACTTTGAGTTAAAACAAAAACATGACCATGAATTGGTGAACTGCGTAAACATGCCCAACCCAGAAACTCTCTTAACAGGAAAGGCTGTTGGCCCACAACAATCAAAGTTAACTCAGTGTTTTATATCTGTTTTCAGCATTGGTACCAATTATATGAAGTCCATGTCACTGCTACATCATGTCTTCGTTGACAGCAATAAACTCCAAATAAGAAAAATGTCAAATTCAGCAATTCCCCAGACCATACCTTTTTGATTTCTAAGACATGATTTGGGATACCGTTTTTTTTTATAAAAATAATTCCAAATATGTTATCATTTTCTAAAGCACTGATTTTTCTAATATGATGCTAATGTGTCACTATTTTCTGGAGCAACGACATCTATGCCAAACACCGCCCTAAAAAATACCCAAACAATGCAATTTCCAAACTAACGAAAGCAACTTGACAGTTACCCACAGTTGCAACCGTTACAACTATGGCCTTTTTTTTAGTTTTTCATTTCCCTGTGGTTCTTTAATCACGGGAATGTTAGTCAAATTCAAGGTGCCCAGAGAAATTATTCATGTTGGGTTCAGGTAATCCCAGCCTATAAGAAAAAAGCAGACCCTCTGCAGACCATAATTGACCCCATTATAAATCCGGCTTATTGAGTTTGACTTGGTAAAACCTGACTGTAATTGACAGGTTTTCTGATAACTTGATAATAAACCTGCTAAATTTTTGTTTTCTTCTGATGTATGTCATATAAAATGACAAATATAGACATCTTAGATAAAATTACTATAGATAAACCATGAGAAGAAACATATAGAGCAGTGGGAAGTATCTTTATCAACTGCTATGTATTTGCATTGGTTTAAATAAAGCCAGAACAGGTAAAAACCAATCCTGACCTGAATTGCAGACCAAGATTCTTTATGGTAAAATCAAATCAGTTGGGGTGTTATTCAATTCCTAATGAGGTCGGTAAGAACTCAGAAGTAGTGTTTTCTCATCTGAGTCCTGATGTACTACACTTTCTTAAATTTTCTTTTAATCAATGACAGATATTCTATCACATGTGTATTCCTCATATGTATAGCTTTTATTTATTTTATTTTATAACACGTACTTGTCACAGCCCGAATGAAAAATGTAAGAAAAAAGTGGAGGTGAAGATCCGGACAAGTATGGGAAACTGGAGGACATTGGACCAATCAAGATACACACCAGTTCAGTCTCCTGAGCATATATGGAGCTGGTATGGTGTACTAATTGTGATTGGTCAAATATTACAAATGAACTCTACATAATTCAAACTTAAACTGACATTGGACCAATCACAAGTGAACATGCCAGTGCTCTGTAAACGTGGGACCCATATGCAGAAACTTGATCTAGTAATAAGCTTTCTTACATAATTTACTATTTCTGCCCGATGGTAGATGGAGGGATAGGTGATTTAATTAGGCAGATCCAAATTTACTGTCTACTGCGTACAGGGGATTCTCAACTAATGGTGTATTTGGTCCATTAATCCTTATAAGTCCTACACCCCATCTTGTGTAGGCATTTCTCAACAAATTTGAAAATGAAAATTTCCAAATAGAAGGGCTGATCATATCAACATGTAGGAAATGATTTTGGGCTAAAATTTGCTTCAATTGGCAAGAGAAATGTTCCTTTTGGGGTTCTAACAACACTGCCACATGGAAGATTACAGGGTCGTTTGGAAGTTCATCTTCTACTCCATTATCATTATCACCATTACCACTACTACTTCCAGGTCCCCACCACCACCATCAGTACTAGTACGATTAGCATCAGCTTTAGCGTTAAATTTTGAAAAATATGTGCTTGTCAATGTTAATTACAATTCTTCCATTCTCAACCTATCCAATTTCAGTGGATATATAGGATGGTCCCAATACTAATCTACTTAATGACCCAGTAATTGAAATGGTCACTCGGTGTCCCTCTGAAAATGGAGGCACGGGATCAAACCCGGAGATCTGCAGGCTCTCCGTCTCCGTGATAATTTTGATATAGACCTCATGATTCCCCTGTGATAGTGCCCAAATAATCTTTCATGTAACTGTTGAAAACTTGGAATGGATGCCCAAGGCATGGCCGTTGTCTGATACCAAAGAAGTGTGTGTGTCAAGAAGTAAAGAATTCATGACAAAAAACCCCCAAACCTTAAAATTAATAAAATAATAAAATAATACATAGAGACATTGAAGATTGGCATGTGATGGTAGATTGATCATGGCAGCAGGTCAAGTGGAGATTTGCACTTCAGTTCTAGTGGTGCAACTCTGTGCCATATGTGTGCTATAGGATAGATGTTTGTTTTCTGAACATTTTTCTTTTTAATTCTTAAAATTGTTGTAGTTTTCATTAATTCATAATATGCCATCTCTGAATTGACAAAAACAATTAGTGTACAAATAATATTACCCTAAACTACCCAAAAATAGTGAGAAAGTAAAAAAAAAAAAAAAGAATGCTGCAATACAATGTAATTAACTAGCTTTGGGCCTTGGACCAAGATAACAACATAAGCATCCACTAAGAAAAGAGTGATGATGCTTGTGTGTGGTAGATGTATAATTTAGGAATTTTCTTCCTAGGGTTCTGACACATGCTCATCAGTCTTCAGCATTTTCATTAGGGAATTACACATAGCAGGTTAGGTCGGCAGTTCAAAGAGAAGAGTTGGAAAGCATTTTATGAGTTTATCCAGTCACAGGGTATCTCCAGAATCCAGATACTAAGCCAAAGGATACGAATTGGTAGGCAGACCCAAGTGGCAATCTGATGCTATGAATATGCCACTTCGATGGGGGAAGAAAAAGAATGCAAACCTAGCTAGAACAATAAAGAAACGATAAACTAGCTAGGATGCAAAGCAATTAAGTGGGAACTCAACCTATCCCTTTCCTGTGCACTTTGCCTTTTGCATTATTGGCTTCCCATGTAGTTTTCTTAAGCAAGAAGATGGGAAAGAAAACAAGATAGACACAAGAATCTACAAAGTAACGAGCTCTGGTTGGCTGCTTTTGAATTATTCTTGAGGGTCTTCTGTTTGGATGATTGTCAAACAAGAATAAGCACCAGCCAAGAGATATCTGCTCATCACTCAATTCATCAAAGTGAAAGAAACCCGCCTGCACTAACCATATTATTGTGGAGGATCTGGTTCCTTTCAAAAGAGAGATCTAGAGAGAGAGAGAGAGAGAGAAGGAGGGCCCGTCTTTGGCTTGCTGTTTCTTGATCTTGATAGATCTTGCTTAATTGGGTCATTTGGAGGGGGCTTAATTATCCTTAACAACTGCAAGAAAAAAATGTTGTCGGGTGGTACAGATACTTGGACAGATAAGGCTC